TTTACCTACCTAATGTTAAATGTTACCTAATGTTGAATAGTAGCCAGTGTGCAGTTAAAACACTTTGAATAGCTTCAAAATAGTGCACAGAAGGAATTTCCAGACAGAGCCACAGACATTAGTCCTCCAGGATCTGTTTTAGCTTGTTGTTCTCTCAGACTTTTATCCCTTATTCCTGACAAAACAGCTCCTCTTGGATCTCAGTCCAGACGTTTCCTGTCCCCCAGGGATTCAGGGCAGCATCTCATCTGTAAGTGTATTACAACAGAGATGTGCACTGAATCCGCAGGGCTTAGGCTAACAGAGAGTCAGGAGTCTTAAGTTGTGATGGGCAGGGACAGACCCCCCCACCCCCTCTTCATTCCAGTCAACATTTCATTACGACAGGAATCTTAAATCATATGAATGCTTCAGGGACCAGTCCAACAGGAGGGATCAGAGGGGATCTGGACATGATCAGAGGAAATAGTTTGTGTGTCAGAGAGAAAGAATCTGAGACTGTCCTTTTCATTATTCATGCTCTGGTCTGGAGGATACATTACCTTCAGTACTGTAGATTTTAAACTACTTTTATTTTCATATCACAGTAATACTTTATTATTACTAATATGTCTGTATTTGTTTGACTAATTATAGAGGAAATAGAGACAGACAGATATGTGAAATTTGTCTCTAGCCAAAAATACAATTGAACATATACAAAGAATATTTTCATAATAAATAAACAATAAATAAATGTTTACTTGGGTACAAATAGGACATTTTTTTAAAGGAAATTCCATAACAAGCACAATACTACATAATTCCTTCCAGAAAACTTCCAAGGAGATTATTGTGGAATTATTAGGATATTAGTAACCAAAGCACAACCCATATTATTCTTCAATTTAGCTTCTTTCTTTCTTTCATAACAATAGGCTTTTGTCATCTTTTAACAATAATTGTTTACAAAAGTTTATTTTAAGTTCAGTTCAAGTTTATAAAGCTTTTAATATAATGGTTCAAAGTGTTCAAATGTTTCCTAACATCATGATGATAAAATACCAAGCTGAAACTTTAAAAGTGAAAGACTGTCCTTTGCGTGCACACAAATAAAATGCTTGTACTGAATTAGCAGTGCAGTCTTACTTTAGTTTACCTCTGTATCTGCTGGAGTACAATAGTATAGTTTACTTACTCAATGTAAATGCAATGTAAAGTGCTTTATCAGTCAAGCCAGAGGCAGAAAGAATGTGTATAGTTCCTGGTCCATTTCACACATATGTTACACACATATGTTTACTCCACCACTCTCTCTCTCTCTCCCCAAGAGGCCCGGGCCCCCTGCTTGGGGAGCGACGGCAGACAGAAAAAGAGAGTAAGGCAGAGATAGCGAGCGAATAAGAGGAGTCTGATGAGAAGCCAGTATTGGCACCAGTCCCCGCCCCAACCAGACCTCAAGCGTGTGGGTCCTTGGCGGTGGATAGACAGGCGGTTCTGGGACTTGGAGGAGGAAGAGCGGCCAGCTGGAGCAGTAACAGAGTGGTATTGTGAACTGACTGACTGACTGATGCCTCAGTGGAGCAGAGAAGCAGGCTGCCGGGGTGGCCTCTTTCTGGGCCCCACAGGGCCCCTCTGGGCTGATGCACTGCTGGAAGTGGGTCAGACAGACACAAGAGCACAGTGGAGAGCAATCGGAGAGTGTACTCTCAGCAGAGATTCAAGACAAAGAGGCATCTAAACAGTGAAGCTTGTGTACAGTGAGGTGGAAGAGACAGGGACAAAAGGTTGACATTGTGTTATAAAACTTCTAGTGCAGAGATTATCAGTATTGTGGTCAAATAGTCTCAAGTGATTGTGGATGACAGTTCAAGACTTACAGTTCAGTTCAATAACAGAGCATTATGAAATTAGGAAATGCCTGCCCAATGCACATTAATATCCATTTGGTGCAGGAAATCCATCAGTGTGCAATTTATGTCCAACGATGAAACAGCAAGACAATCTGTTTCCCTGCTGCTATATACAAAGCAATGATTATCATCATGAGGAGGTGGACTGGTTATGACAACACAAAAACCCCTTGAAAAAATGTTCAAAGAGGATGTAGCTCTTCTTGCCAGAGGGAGGCAGTGTTCTCATTCAACGCACATTAACATTCTTCACAGCATCCATTTTGCCTCCAATTCTCTGCAGCTCTTAAGCTGCAAAATGATCGCCAGCCACAGAAGCAGAGAGCAGCTAGTTATCTTGTTATAGATGTGGGCACTTTGAAGAGAAAGGGGGCTGCCATACTCTGGCAGATGAGAGGCCCAAGCATAACAACACAATAAAAGAAAGATCTTAGAAGTCAGAGGAATGTGAAGAATGGGAAAGTAAAAATCTCCTTCAGAGGAAGGACAAAGGCAGTGTCACACTTAAACCTAAAACATTCTTGGAAATACCATAAAGTTATGTTTATGAGTTTGTTCAGGGCATCGTGACCACACGCAAGTGGAGGAGTGAGTGTAAAGTGTGAGACGCTCAAACATTTCAGCCTGTAAGTCAAATATTTCAACCCCAACTTCACTTGGCATTTATGATCCCATGAAAAGAGAGTGAATAGCTTTTGTGTTAGAGTGTGGCTTTAAGTCACATCCAAACATTTGTTAAAAGCACACATGCCACACCAAAACAGATGTTATACCTTGAGTAGTTTAAGGAAAGTTCCAGTATGCAGCAACATGTGTATGTGGAGGATAAACCAACTGTGAGGTTATGCTTTACATGTGTCCTGGCAGCCTGTCAGAGCATCATCTGGTTACCCATTCTGTTTGTTCTGAAACTGAACATGCTTTGTATTTATCCTCCCACACGCAGCCACTGCAGGGAATAAAGTAAGTTAAAATCAAGCAGAGGTTGAAGAATAAGAACTTATCCTGGCCAGGAGCTGGTGACAGCGGAGAATGAATGACGGAGGAGACAGGAGATGTGCACTGGAGACAAAACAGACCACGCCATCACACGCTTGGTCTTGGTAAATACTTTATATGCAATTGTTTCTTGATCTTTGCAAACACTGTATAGAAAACACTTAAGGTAACATTTGTCAAACATTTAAAGCGCGTCTGAGCTTTCAGACAGACATGACACAGTAATCTACAGCTTTATAAACATTCTCCGCCCTCTGGCCTGTCCATACACACCCCTCACCACACTTCCCACCACATACAATGCCTTCCAAACACACACACACACACATGCACGCACACACAGCCACCGCTATCAGGCTCTCCACTTATTTTTCACAGTAGGCTTTATAACACTGTTTCTGTATCGTATGATGGTTCTCAACATTGTTTTTATTATTTAAAATAGCTATCAACATTTATGCTGTAATATTTGGAAAGTGATACATTTGTATTTACATAAGCTTATTGAGCAAGATTCAAATACAATGTATGTGTACATATGTATAATTGTATGCAGGTGTGTATATTTGAGTGTGTGTAAGTGTGTGTGTGTGTGTGTGTGTGTGTTGACCGGAGCCACCTGGTCATTCTGTTTGAGTCACTGACCGATTTCCACCGATAGCGTCCAGTCTGTTCAATACAGTCCAGTTAGAAAAGAAGAAAGTGGTGTGGAGCTCTGATGAGCTTTTGCCCCACAACAGTGCCTCGGTCGCTCAGAGAGGCGACGCAGGGCAGCAGAGTGAAACCGGTCACTGACTGTCCCTCACAGCTGTCTGTGATAGCATGAGGAGATTATGGGAGACTGAAGTGACTGAAGATGGTGCGAGGTGCTTACAGCACGTTAGACTCATCATACATTCAAGCAGAGGCCAGGAGGAGTCAGTTGTATCATGGACAGCTGTATTTTAGGGTCCTACAACCTCAGTGACTGGCACATCCCGACTCTCATTCTCATGTTTTCATTTCATACAAGATAAAAGTAAGAAAACGTGGCAAATGGTCACAGTACCATGTCAGATATTAAAACGCCTCCTTAAGCATCAAAAATGGATGCTTCCGGGGCGATGAGAAGTCCTCCCTTCGAGCTATTCATACAATATCCCTCCTTAATCTTCTTTCTCTTCTCTCTTTCACACACAGAGATGCAAGCACTCACGTGTACATTCATATACACAAAGTACAGAAGTAAGCAATTACACCTACACACGCAGAAAAAAACAAAAAAGGTCAGCACGCACACACATGGCCACACATACAGACTGGGACCTGGGTAAGAGAACAAACTAATGTGAGAGGAAAGTGAGGCACATAATCTGACAGGCAAAATCCAGCCTGAATTTTGGTATACTCATATATATATATATGTATATATATATATATATATATATATATACATACAGAAGTCAGATGTGGATGATTAAGGTGTCGCAGACAGGTCCAGGCTTTCAGCCCAGTGAGAACTTCTAAAATGTAACATCTATTTAGCACCTATATTCTCCCAGGTGCCTTACACATACTTTGAATCTTTAAGTACCTATTAAACGGAGACAGCGGTAGAAGCTCTGGCTCCGTCGTCCACATGACGGCAAACAATTTTGGGGGTGGACTAAGGTACCATAGTGATGATATGAATAGTGCTTAAAGGCTTATCTTTTCTTTCACATCCTCATTTGCTATTACCAAGGTCAAAGGCATTATAACAGAGATCCACATAATTAAACATTTAAAGAATTTATGTGCTCCAACAGTCTCATAAACTCTGGGTTGGGACCCAGAATAGGTCACAGGCCTATTTCTGCTGGGTCCCTACATGGCAAGAGTAGCAATAGGTTGTCATGAGCTGGGGTCAGAAAAACAGGGACTTAAGTTTGTTGTTTCCTAAATGAAAAAGCTTAAGAACCACTAACAGTGTCTCCGCTGGGTGCAGGAGTGACAGTGGTTGAAAATGGAAATGGAAATGTTGAGTCAATCTCTTGAGGGCGTTTACCGAGGTGCTTGAAAGGCCCCCAAAGGGTCTTTGAGGGCCATTTATTCAAAGTGGCAGCACTTTGCTATTCCTGTATGATAAATGTAGATCTCTTGTAACTCCTTTTTCATCTTTACAGTATTTAACAGCTACTTCATTATCCAGGGCGTGTTGGTTCACAGGGTCAGTTAATTTTGTTCCAAATTGATAACAGAAAATGATAGTAGGGGAGAATAAGGGAGAGCAGGTAATCAGTCCATCCTTCCAGTCACCCCTTGCTTTGTTAGGATGGGGATCAGGAGTTTAGGTGAGTTTCAGTTCAACCATCGTCTGGGGTCGAGTCTTCAGGGGTGGATGAGTCCTCAGCAAAGTCGTCTGATGAGCCACTCTTGTGGATGCGGCCATCGCTGCGCATGCTGTGGAAAGTCTTGCGGAAAGCCTCCATCATTGAGTGAGCCAGCTTCTTCGCCTCCAGCTTGTTCTCACACTCCACAGCGTGGCAGTCCATCTGGAAGGACAGGTCATCGTTGATCTCCCGGTAGATCCAAGCAAATACGTTGGGTCTGATGCTGTGGTCAGCTGTGCAGTAGGCAATCCGCGCCACCTGGTAGGTGTCCATGGTTACTGAAGCCTCACCATGCTCGTCCAGGTGGTGAAGACGCACCTGGAAGGGCCGAATCTCCAGCAGAGAGTTGCCTGCGGGGCAGGTGCCCTGTTGCTGGGCCAGGGCACGATGCTCCACTAGACCCACCACAGCCGACTCTGTGCAGCCAGACAGGAACTGGGTCCCAGAGATAGTCACCTTACCCAGGTAGGCCACCTGCAAGAAATGAGACACACACACAGATACTGTTACAAATTTCTTTTATGTTTAACGTTTAACAAACTATGCAGTTGGCTACAAATACACCACTAAGCTTTCAACTGCAGTTTTTTTACCAAATGTACAGAATCACAGCCGCAAACAGAAAAACAACAAGGACCCAATAAAAAACACATTAAAGAGATTATATATTTGCTGAAAAATTCAGTGACCAACCGGAAAAACAAAATCCTACTACCTCTGCTATTATCAGGAATATTTATAAAGCATCTTTCTTTACAAAGTTACAAGGAAAAAAAAAGTAACAAGATTTCCTATCTCACTGATCATAGTCTGAGGACTTGAATTGAAAAAGCTGGTAATTTTAGTCATCAGCTGAGACCTAGGGCTAACCAGCAGAGCACATGCATCTATGGGGATTCACAGGCCTGTAACGAGTCAGCAAATCAGTGAGATATTTTGGCACATGGACATTTAACGCCTTGAAAAGCAGGAAAGAAGATTGCTCATTGCTAAATTATTTTGGATTGTAGTAGAACAAAATGTGTCATCCGCATAGCAACAGAAGAGGACATCATGGTTTAGTATCACCTAACTGAGTGGAAACATGTCAACTGAAAACAACACCGGGCCAAGATTGGACCCTTGAGGAACACCACAATTTAACGGACAAGGGTCAAAGAACAGGTGAAAGAATGATGGAATATTTTAGTATTTAAAGAAAAAAGCATCCACCCATAAACCTTGGATGGTCCAAATCATTACTAAATAGGGAGAGAAAACCAATATTTTATTTTCAAATCATCTCTGGCAGTTTTTAATATTAAAAACATTACTTTACTGGGAACTAATCATTGTGAAGCAAATTGAAAAATATTGTTTCACTGTTAATTAATTTCATGTTCAGTGCACATCTTTAAGTTAATTAACCTCAAAACTGGGTCTCTGTAGTAAATGGACCTGTACTTG